CCCCCTCCAGGTGGACGTGCACGTCTATCTCCAGCAGCCCTCAGTACAACATCTGTGAGCAGATGATCCAGATCAGAGAGGATCACATGCGCTTCATCTCAGAGCTCGCCCGCTACAGCAACAGCGAGGTACGTGAGGGGATGCACATTCACTATGTTCAGGGGGAATACATAAAGGGAAAGTGTTAGACCCTCTTTGAGGTGAGACTATGCTTCATCTCGGCACATGCAAACGTTCACTTATCTCTCGGATATAAGCACATTAGAAAATATTTAAAGTGTTGTTTTTAGGTTCTTAAAACATAAACATATTCTTCTAAATCTCAGAGCTCGTGAGGAGACAGTCAAAAAGTCAAGGAAAAGTTCATACAATTCACATGTTTTACTATTGAGGAATGCAATTAAGTACATTTACACCAGTACTGAATATAATTCAAACTATGAAGGGAAATATTCAAACAGCTTTAGTTACTTAGCAAATTGTGATTTTTGCATAGAAAACACATTAGAGGAGATACCAGAATAATATTTTGTGGTATTACTTAAACGACTACTGGACAAATCAAAATAAGTTGATCTCCAACTGTTTTGATAATCGTTTGAAATCATTTTTCATTCATGAATTTCTTTAGATGCTGTTTTCAGACTTTTTCTTTCTAATACGTTTTATTTCATATTAAAGTGAATATCCGTCGAAATGTAAATAGATCACCTCGGACTCTACATGGACATTAATCACTGTTTACTGACATTTTATTGACCAAGCAATAAAACTATAATAATTAATTAATTAATAAAGTAAAAATGGTTGGTTGCACCTTGAGTGAATTGACAGGAAATGATTAGGAGGTATCTTTCATTAGCTGTTTTTTTCTTGTAATTATTGTAAATATTTGTATTTATTTGAGGTATGTTCAACTTTTGACAACCCTTCTTCAACGTAGTCAAATAGGTCACCTGGCCAAAATCCTAATAGAGTCCAAATAAAGACACACAGGCAGTGAAGTATCTGGTGGGAGAACGCAGAATAAAACACAACAGCTTAAAGGTGGGGTAGGTAATTCACTTCAGAAACACTTTTTGTTATATTCCATGGAATGCTCTTAACATCCCGATAGCAATGAATACATGAAATGCTTTGACGAGAAATACATTTAAAAAAATGTCATCTGTGGAAGCCGTGGCGCTGTAAAAAGCACGACCAATCATCTGAGCCGGCCCGGCTAAAATAACTGGATGGTCTACCTGCCTGTCAGCCTTCCATCTGGTGCCCTCATTGGTCATGTGCGCGTTCGTGTGTGTTGGAGGAGGGGCTCTGTGAGGAAGTCTGAAGGAAGGGGCAGATTTTTTTCGGCTGTGTATTTTCAAATTCTAGCGCACTCGAGCTGGTTTCTCCATTCTTACCTACCCTACCTTTAAGAGAGGGCTGCAGATGCTCCTCTTTTCATTCATTCCTCATGCTCTCATGAACTGTGTGTATGTCACGTTTCATTTGTGCCTCAGTGTTTTCTTTCTTTCTTTTTTAACTGTTTATTTTTACAAATCAAGACATATCCTAACATAGGACTTTTCCATTCAAATAACAAATACCATGGTAAAACGGTTCAAAGTTCAAATAAGATCTCAGTGTTTTTTACGTGTGTTGCTTTTCAGGTGGTGACGGGCTCGGGGCGTCAGGAGTCCCAGAAGACGGACTCTGAGTACAGTAAGCTGTTCGACCTGTCTCTGCAGGGCATCCAGCTGCTGTCCCAGTGGAGCGGGCACGTCATGGAAGTGGTGAGGAAACAAACTTTAAAGCAGGACAATCACTTTATTATAGATAGTTTTATTTCTTATAGAGGTTTGTACAAAGTGTGCTAATAGTAGGAATCACTTATAGCTTCTCAATACAAGGCTATACAAATGTCATCTATTATTATATTATCGATTATTAAAAACGTCCGCCCTCTGCCCCCCTCATCAGTACTCCTGGAAGCTCGTCCATCCCACCGATAAATACTCCAACAAGGAGTGTCCCGACAACGCAGAGGAGTACGAGAGAGCCACGAGGTACAACTACAGCTGCGAGGAGAAGTTCGCTCTGGTGGAGGTCAGTCACACACACACACACTCACTCACTCACTCACTCACTCACTCACTCACTCACTCACTCACTCACTCACTCACACACACAAATGGCAAATATTCAACTAAATCATAAAACCTATTGACAAAATGTTTTTCCCCGTGGGGCTGTGTGCAGGTGTAACAGCTCACAATTGCAGTATTCATATGTTCAACTCTGTTACACAGGTGATGGCGATGATCAAGGGTCTGCAGGTGCTGATGGGCCGGATGGAGAGTGTGTTCAATCACGCCATCCGACACACCATCTACTCCATGCTGCAGGACTTNAGAGGAGTACGAGAGAGCCACGAGGTACAACTACAGCTGCGAGGAGAAGTTCGCTCTGGTGGAGGTCAGTCACACACACACACACACACACACACACACACACACACACACACACACACACACACACACACACACGCACACGCACACACAATGTTTTACTACAGAGATACACGGTTGTTGGCAAATATTCAACTAAATCATAAAACCTATTGACAATATGTTTTTCCCCTTGGGGCTGTGTGCAGGTGTAACAGCTCATAACTGCAGTATTCATATGTTCAACTCTGTTACACAGGTGATGGCGATGATCAAGGGTCTGCAGGTGCTGATGGGCCGGATGGAGAGTGTGTTCAATCACGCCATCCGACACACCATCTACTCCATGCTGCAGGACTTCTCTCAGGTGACGCTGCGAGAGCCGCTGCGGCATGCCATCAAGAAGAAGAAGAACGTCATCCAGAGGTATTCATCGCAACGCTGTGGAAAAAAGAGTATTCACATTCTTAGATCAGCTGCATACTGTCACAGAGAGGGGAGGGGGGGGGGAGTCAATACTGTAAATACCACTGTCTAATAATAAATACTCCATTACAAGTTAAATAATGTCACTTAGGTAAAAGTGCAGAAGCATTAAAAGCGAAATGTAAATACATTTTCAAAATGAAAAGTACTAATAATGTGGAATGGTTCTTTTAACAGTGTTGTAACACATTATATTATTATACTGGAGCAGATGTCCCTGAATGCTCCAGTAAAGCTGTACCCTTAGGAATAAAATACCAAACTCTTCTGAGCTTTTGAAGGTCTTCGAAAATGTTCTCATAAGCAACAATATTTTCTCCGTACTTTATCACATTCATAATTCACAAGAAGAAATTCAGGCTGTCCCTCTGCTATTATCCATACACAGTACAAACACACAGGACCTATAGAACAGTAGGTCTGAATACACACATGCACAAACACATGCATTGTTTTAACGGAGAGGCTGCCATTCCCAGGAGGTGAACTGCACATAAGATAAGATGAGAAGTACTTTATTGATCCCACTTTGGGTAATGTTTGTGTTGCAGCAGCATAAAAAGACACGGCATTGTTCAATAACAATGAAAAGACTAGAAATCACTTGAACCGGCGACCCACCAGTCCCCACAGACTGAGCTGCTGCAGGAGTTTAAAGTCCCCTACGTGTATTGGGGTTGCAGGTGGGGTCCAAAACTAGCAATCCACATGAATGTCTGGGAGCAAATTAATGTTATATCTTATATGCTACACAAATACGGCCAGGATCCGTTGAATTTTCTGAATATTGGGTTGCAGATTATAATTTTCCAAAGGGAGGGTTCGTTTAGCATCAAACATATAAATAACTAAAGGACAAGTTAAAAAAGAAAGTAGAAAGAAAGTGAGGTCAAAGAAAACTCAGAGCTAAACATTTCAGATGTGTGTGTATCTCACACTGCAGTCACTTTTCTTCATGTCCTCTGTCCTCTGTCCTCTGTCCTCAGCGTCCTGCAGGCCATCAGGAAGACGGTGTGTGACTGGGAGGCGGGCCGCGAGCCGCACAACGACCCGGCTCTGCGCGGAGAGAAAGATCCAAAGGGAGGCTTCGACATCAAGGTCCCCCGCAGAGCAGTGGGCCCCTCCAGCACCCAGGTGGGACCCCCGTGCTATGCCCTGTGACTTTTTTAATGAAATGCAATTAATGTAATTGTTTCAAAATAAAAGTCAGTTTAAATGGATGATTAATTTAGAATAATTTCACAGAATAATATCATTTTCTTATTTTATCTTTCAAACATTAACAAAATTGTAATTATTATTTTTTAGAGATATAAATAGTATAATATATTTCATGTAATATACGGTACGAGTCTAAGCTTTGGACACACCTTCTCATTCTCTCAAGGTTTTTATTTATTTTAATTATGTTCTACATTGTTAATTAATACTGAATACATCAAAACTATAAAAGAACACATGGAATTATCTAGTTAACAAAAATGTGTAAAAAAAGAATCCAGAATATGATTTTTTATTTGATATTCTTCAAAGTATCCCCCTTTTGCCTTGATGACAGCTTTGCACACTCTGGCTTCTCTCAGTCAGCTTCATGAGCTCGTCAAATGAACAAAAACCGTTTGATGAGAAGCTGTGTCCAAACTTTTGACCGGTACTGCATATCTACACACTTCCCCTGTTATAGCCGTCCACACACAGCAGCACAAACAACACAACTGAAACTTGATATTCATGATTACGATGTACGCTGTATTGACTTCTCTTCATTACGTTTCAGTCCTGAACTCCTATCATCCATGCAAGGTTATTTATACATCTCAGATATATATACAACACATTGTGTGATATAGCTTCCTCCGTTACCTCACAGATCTATCAGCTCAGACCCACACACCAACTAATCTGTTTCCAGGTTTACAACGACAAATCCCAGCGAATCAATCACCTGCTGGGTTTTATCTCCCGCAACTAATCTAATCTCATATAGAGAGCGTGACTGAGGGGAACCAAAGCAAACCAATCAAATGCACCTCATAGGGTGGAAAATCAATTTCCTTGTTAATGTTCTTTTTAATGAGATAATATTCAGTGTTGTGTAGGAGGAAACTGTAACGAACGAGATTAAGATTTGCAGGATGTTTGCAGGTGATGGAGATAACAAAAGCAGCATTTAATAACATTATACATTAATAATAACAAAAATTAATAATAATTAATAACATTTAATAACATCCCCCCCCTTTATTTATTTTCTTTACATAGATCCCCTAGTATAGCTGCAGGGTATTGCAGACAAATCTGCTATTTATTTTTTGAGTATATAACAAAATATTACTTTGGATAAATAAACATATTTTTAAGTTTCAGATTTGTGCTGTTTTCAGAAGTTTGCTAAAAAAAATAATTGCATGTTAAATAATTAAATAAATAATAGAAGAATGAGAATTAAAATAAAAAGCAGCGTCAAGTTTTTTATTCAAATGTGGGTTGGAGTGGGGCTGCTCGATTATGGCAAAAATCATAATCTCGATTATTTGGGTCAATAATTGATATTACGATTATTAAAAAACGATTACCGTAATTTTCGGACTATAAGCCGCGCCTTTTTCCCTATTTTTCGACGCTGCGGTTTATATAACGGTGCGGCTAANTCGATTATTCGGGTCAATAATTGATATCACGGTTATTAAAAAACGATTATCCATTTACTTTGAAAACATCAATTTATTGGAGAATTTTTTTTTGAACAGTTTGTTTTTAACAGTTGATTACCCTGAACTTTAAGTGTAATTCAACTGAAATAATAATAAAAATTAAAAAGAAAATCGTTTTATTTCG